AGGTTAGATGAGTATCTAGCTGGGGTCATGTAGACCCAGCACTCTTTACTGCCTATGCAGGGGGTCGGACTCGATGATCTAGTGAGGTCCCTTCCGACCCGAGCATCTATGAATCTATGATGAACCTACACTATTTTGGGGGGTTCGTGGGATGTCATGCATGTTTTCCTGAGTTTGTTTTACTAATATGGCAGGTGTATTCTCTACAGATAGGTATCACCAAACTGTATTCAGCCTTATTGTCCTTATTTATATGAACTGTGGTGTTTGATATAAATATATTTCATATAAGTTATTATACGAATCTCGGGACGTCATTCTCCCCCTGTACTCGGCCTTAGTGAGGCCGCAGCTGGAGTTCTGTGTCCAGTTTTGGGCTCCACAATTCAAAAAGGATGTGGAGAAGCTTGAGAGAGTCCAGAGAAGAGCCACGCGCATGATCAGAGGTCAGGGAAGCAGACCCTACGATGACAGGCTGAGAGCCCTGGGGCTCTTTAGCCTGAAAAAGCGCAGGCTCAGGGGTGATCTGATGGCCACCTACAAGTATATCAGGGGTGACCACCAGCATCTGGGGGAACGTTTGTTCACCAGAGCACCCCAAGGGATGACGAGGTCGAATGGTCACAAACTACTACAAGACCGTTTCAGGCTGGACATAAGGAAGAATGTCCGAGCCCCCAAGGTCTGGAACAGCCTGCTGCCGGAGGTGGTTCAAGCGCCTTCATTGAACACCTTCAAGATGAAACTGGATGCTTATCTTGCTGGGATCCTATGACCCCAGCTGACTTCCTGCCCTTTGGGTGGGGGGCTGGACTCGATGATCTTCCGAGGTCCCTTCCAGCCCTGATGTCTATGAATCTATGAATCTATGAATTATAGGGCCAGGATTGCATAATGAGTTATGTGCCTGGGAGAGGCTCAAAGCTTAAATGGCTAAGGAGAAATAAACACTGAGAATTAGCATCTGCCATGAGTCTTTTTACTCATCAAACAGACCCTTCTAGACCATGATGAATTTGCATTTCAACAGGGAAGACCTGTAAGAATACCACTGGAAGGACATTCCTCACAGTGGGGAATTAAGTGAGAGATGGTATCATTAGGATATTGGATTAGCAATCTTCATGTCTGAAAAGATGCAAATATTCTCTGGGTCATAATTAAATTAGGAAAGATTTTTAGTCTGGTAAACATGAACTTTTTGGGGGCAGGAAGTTATATGTATAGTGTGGGTTCCCAAAGCATCCAATGGGTGATATATGTAAATGGCCAGATTGGAAATCATACTTAAGTTTTGTCTTGAGAGTAAGTCTTGGTCTTCATTTTGTTCCTGGTCATAGGGAATGGCTTTAGGCCCTCAACCAGTGGGCTGAGTAAAGGCCATCTTACACCTTATGCTATAAGCCAAACAAATGTTAATTGCCTTAGTGTTGCTCCACTTATTGGAACAGTCACACCTTAAGGCAAAAAAACATCTCTGGCTGTCCCATACGTGCACAGCTGTGACTTGCTATTAGAGGTTCGGTGAGCAGGAGCAGGACTAGCAGCTAGGCTCGCTGCTCCCACCAGTCAGAGCGTCCAGTGGCCACGGTGCCTCCTACCACTGCCCGGACCAGCTCATTGAATGAAGTGCGAACAGCCCAATTATGTTTTTTTTTCTTCAGAGCCTCCCTACCTTTCCCATTGCCCCCATCTATGCTGCCAGCTAGCCAGGTGCTGCCTGAGCTGTGAAAAGGATAGAGCCCCTCGGAGCTCAGGCAACTTTTCTTGAATCTTTTTCATATGCTGCTTTGCACTTAACGCCTGTGAGTATCGCTTAGTACAATGAATGCCTACATTAACCTATGCTATCGTTAGCTCATTCAAACATGGTTCATATTTAAATGCAAAACTTAGACATGTATATTTGCTTCACTAGGTATACCTGTGGGTCTTGCTCTGAGGGCAAGAGAGGGGCATGGCAGGAATGACTTATCTATGCAAAATCCCTCAAAGAACTTGGATGGACAAGAGATTATTTAGACTCCTAACACCTACTTTAGATAGGAGCAGCATACATTCCCACTCACCTCAACAGTCAATCACAGGCAGATGCATAGCAAGGGCATCTCAGTCAGCACCTAAGTTGGCAAATACAAAATGCTGAAGAAGGGTGTGTATCTGGAAACCCACCTCTCTCCTAGAAAGTGGGCAGCCAAGAGTGCAATAAAATTGAGGCAAGGAGAGCAAACAAGAGGGGCGACTGATGTCCAGTGAGCCCTGGATTCTGGTTCCTGGTCCTTGCTTCTGGGACTGCATCATTTTTTTTTTTATAAATAGTTGGGAGCAAGGGACAATGATCTCAGGAGCCACCCAGAATTGCTTCCCTCACTGGCTCCCCCCTGCTTGCTGTTCACAGACCCCAAGACTATGGCACTCTGACCCTTTGGCTGGCTTCACCAGGAAGGGTAGAGGATAACCTGAATCTAGCTCAGCCTATAGCCTGGAGGTTTGAGTGCTATCTTAGAAAATGGGATACATGGATTCAGGCTAAGGAGAAATTTATGTGACCATTCACCTACTGGACAAAACAGCAAAACATGTCTACCACCTTCTCTCTTCACTCAGTTTTGAATTTAAATTATGAGTTGTACATACCTATGTTTTAAGCAAGACACTGTTCAGCATCCCTGCAATAAGGTCCCTTTTTTAATATGGCCTTCGGCTTGGAAAAAGAAGCCTATTATACTGCTGCCTTTAAATATAGCTGAAGATATTTGTATTAATCATGTCATACTGTGCTGTGTCATTTTATTTTTTTTTATTGTCATAGCCATGCAATAACACCAGATAAATGCCATAAATGGCACCTCAACTGGGTATCCAATTATAATGAAATAAATGACAGGGGTCAGCTAAAGAAATACCTCACCCATTCAGTACCTGAGGGAATTCCTTCATTATCTGATCTACCCATCAGTCAAAGTTAACATAACACTGCCAGAAAGATTGTTTTGGGGGGGATGGGAACTACATAGACTGACTCACTCAAGATGATGGTCTCAAACCTGTTCAGAGATTCAAGGAACCAGACATGGAGAAGACTGATTAGAACAGCTTACAGGATTGTCCCCTACTATATTTAAAAGTGGTTTGTTCAGTCTGAAATAACTCTAATGATAAGGTTTCCATGACTTTTTTAAACAACTGTTTCATAGTTTTAAAAAAACTGCATCATTCTGAAATGTTTCTTGATATCTTGTATATACTTTCTTTTGTTCTTCTTCATTCCATCCTACCTTATGGGACCACCCCAAATTAATCTATTCCCTCCTTGATGTTTATGTCCTTCAATTACTTCTAGATAGTTAAAATATACTCCTAATCAGCATTTGCCCAAAATATAATTAATCTAATCTTTCTTTATAAATCAATCCCTTCAGACTCTTAATCATTTGTATTACTCTTCTTTGGATTCCCTCCAAGTTCCTGACATCCTTCTGAGATTGAGATGCCCAAAACAGTACACAGGATTTTTGATGCAGTCTCCGCAGTGCTACATAGAAAAGACACTAGAACTACAGCTTATCAGAAAAAACTCTGAAGAAAACATATTCAGCTGGAATCTGCAGTTTTGTTAATATCTGACTCTTCCTTGTAACTATCAGTTTCTCTGGACTTTTTTTTCTGAAGAAAAACATCCCATTTTGACATTTTTAGAATGAAACATTTTGATTTTTCTCTTTGAAATGACTTTCCATTTTGCACGTTTTATATAGCATGATATTATATATTCCTCACTCATGCTAGAGATTGCTAACCCACATGAGTGGTCATATCAACATCAGTGAAATTATTCTTCTGAGTAAGGGCTCACCATCATGATTCTGGCTGCACCTTGTCTATTCCTGCTTATATTTCTAGCTGCACTTGAGCACTATTCCAATGTTTTCTCTTGCGCACACATTGGGCACGTCTACACAAGATGCTGACCATGCAGTAGCCGAAAAATCCTCACAGCATGGACAGTGCTAATATGTTACTGCGCAGTATTATTAGGCTATTGTGCACTATATAGCTTGATGCACTGCCATTTATTGCTGCTTTTTGTTTATGGTGCCTCAGTCAGGTTTTACTTTGTGACAATGCTGACATTCACATCAATTTTAATTCATATTTCACCTAAGATTGGGTTGGGTCCTGTAACCTCATGCTTTTGAAGGGTCCAGATACATTACATCTCCTCTGTTCCTTTTGCCCACTGCTGTAACTTGATCTAAAAAGCAATTAGGTTTGTCTGGTCTGATTTATTCTGAAAAAACCCATGCTGTTAATTGTGTTTATGGTTCCATTTCCATTTTAAATATACATTCCATTACTTTATCAGGGATTGAATTTGGACTACTGAGCAGTTATTGCCAGGATTGCATTTCCTCCCTTCCTTCTTAAAACTTTAGTATTTCATTTGCTTTTTTTCCCCCTCAGCCGTCTGGTACTTTCCCAGTGCTCTGTAACTTTTTGTAAATAATTGCCAGTGTTTCTGTAAGTTCATTAGCTAATTCCCTCAGCACTCTGAAATGCATCCACACCTGCTGATCTGTATATATATTCAGTTGTTTTAAGTATTCTCTTACCTGCTTTTCATCAATAGCTTTGACAAAGTCGTCATTGCTTCTTAATTATCCATTCCTTTTTCCATATTTTTCTTGTCTAACAGGTTTTATACAGCAGTTCAGTAGTTTACCCAATTTAAAACTACCATTGATTTACTTTCCCTCCTTGTTTATTAATGGAACAACTTTCTCTCTGGTATTTTTCAGGCTCTTAACATATATAAAAAGCTTTTCTTCTTCTCCTTAACCCCTTCGGCTGGCATTAACTCATTCCTGTTCTAGCTCCCCTTTTAAGCCTCAACTGACTCTGCATTTCAACTTGTTTCTCTCTTTTTCCCTTGCCAGTACAGGGCTTTTTTTATCCTTCCAATCAATCATTACCATGCCTACAAATTGCTACCATCTGGCACTGGTAGACTGGTGTCTACCTGTGACTAGTGACACTGCTGTGACTGCCAGCTGATAAAAACACTCCTGCCTCTACAATTACCTTGTCCTGCCAACCCTTTCTGCCCCTAAACTCCTGGTCTCAGCTCCTCTGGTGTTGATCACCCCCACCAGCTTCTAGTCTACCTCCCATGTCCTCCAGAGGCTCTTTGTCCCACTCTGTTCCCCTTTGCATGCAGATTCAGCTATTGTCCCCTCTGTCTGAATGGGACACCTTCCTCCTCTATGCTGGCTGGGCTCATCAAGAGATCCCCAGGGAGATCACACCTGCATTTGTCTCTGGCACCTTCACTCAAGATTATAGTTGCCCAGAGTTGCCCTTGTAGGGA